TTTTTGGAGAAAAGCCCAATGAGGAAGATGCTGGCCTGGCTGAGTATCAGGGGCCCATGTCCACCAGCCAAAATCTCTGGTGCCTTCTGCTGCTCAGTCCATACCCTTCCCGCAAATTCCCCTATCTGTTAAGTAGAGAAGCACCCGCCCTGACATCCCACTTTTGGAAGGACTCAGAGGCTCCAGGGGACAAACATTCTCTTAAACCAAGAAACCCTTGGTTCTGTTAAACATCAGCAAACTTTGTTTAACACTGCTGCCTCTTGTCTGGCTTCTCTCTGGTGGTAGGTGTAATCTTCACAAGCATTTGGACGATCAGTGTCAGGATGCCTCTGGGATATTCCTAACCACTAAGCACTGGTGAGGGTCTCTGGGTCACCAGGGAGCAGATAGAAATAAAAAAAGAATCCAGGAGAAAAGTAGGAACCAGCTACTTAGGTATTTCCTTACCTGTCAGCAAATTGAAGCTTTTCTTGTCTGGCAAGTCTCCTAGGCAAGGGTGTGTGTGTGTGTGTGTAAGAAAGAAAGAAAGACAGAGAGCGATGCAAAGAAGCATAAGAATAGGGAGAAAAGAGAGAGAAATGCCAGGGCGTTGCCTTTCATCCTGAACTTCTTTTTCTGCATCTGAGTCTCACTCTGTCACCCAGGCTGAAGTATGGTGGCATGGTCAAGGCTCACCTCCTGAGCCTCCACCTCCTGGGCTCAGGTGATCCTCCTGCCTCAGCCTCCCAAATAGCTGGGACAACAGGCATATGCCACCACACCTAGCTAATTTGTTTGATTTTTTGTGTGTGTGTGGTAACAACAAGGTCTTGTTATGTTGTCCAGGCTAGTTTGAACTCCTGGCCTCAAGCGATCCTTCTGCCTCAGCCTCCTAAAGTGGTGGGATTACAAGCATGAGCCACCATGCCTGGCCTGGTCCTCAACTTCTTAGAGCTGATTCAGTACATATAAGTAGGCTACAGCAGTACGTAGATGGGACAAAAGCCACCTGAACCTTCTCACCAGCCACTCTCCTCCGTGAAGCTGCATGAGGGCAGACTCTGACTAGTGGTCATCTATTTTTCCTGAGTCTGGAGCAGGCAAAAGAGATATCTGTCTAATCAGACGCTGTTGGGAAACAGAGAACAGGAAGGATGCTCTGTCTGTTCCTGCAAAGAATAAGTAATTTCTGGATGACAGTCAGCCTTGGGATTTACAGGATTACCTTCATCTTGGAAATAACTGAGAGGCCTCCAAAAAGCAGCATCTAGCTATCCTGTCCCAAGGTACTTCCCAGGGTGAGGAGAGTCTTCAGGGGCTTGGGGAAGGCAAGAAGATGAAACATCAGTCAATAAGAGTGGAGTAAGATGACCTCATTCTTGTGAGGCAAGAGCTTTGAGACCTTCAGATGATGGAGATCTGCCCTGTCAATGGGTAACAGAAAAGGAGCACCAGGGATTCCCCACCAAGATCCTGGCAAAGCTCCATCCTATTCTGCCCTCCACCGCTGAATAAAGCCACACTTGAGGGATGTTCAAGGGAGACAGTCTGTTTATTGTCACCAGTAGATCCAAGCAATAAGACAAACAGCAAAAGAAACTCAATCTGCTCCCAGAAGCAGATACATCCCAGCCGTTGGGTCACAGAGGCCATCTAAGTTTCCCTCCCTGCCCAACCATCACCCCCAACCACTGTACAGCACGTAAAACCTAGAAAGTGCATTCATAGTTGGGTTTTCCCCTCCAAGTGCACAAAGAACAATAAGAACATTCCATAATTTGCCTTTGGTGAATCAACTCAAAACATTGAGAAGTGATTACACCTCCCCCCACAATGTAACTTTTGGGGTGGGTGTAGTGAGATGTTTTATATTTGGATATATAATATATCTATTCCTATATATATAGACTATGTACAAATGCATCAGCAAGCTTCAATAAAGGAAGACATCAGCAAGAGGCACAGCAAGAGACACAGGCTGCCTATCCTTAAGACATAAGGAGGAAGGAAAATGTCTTGCTTCTTCACCCGTTAACTGCACCAAGCCATTCCTATGGCCTGGGACTATCCTTTGGACCTGGCCAGTATTTTCAATTGTCTGTCGGCTTAACCTGACCTTGTAAATATTTACCAGCCCAACCTCCCCAAGCAGACTCGCAGAGAGAAGTATGGATCCAGTCAGCTTTTCCTTTTTATAGATTAGGAATAACCGTGATGAGCCCATAGCTGGGGGCAGATAGCTATTTCCAAAGCCAGTTCCAAGGCACCTCAAGGCATTTCAGTCCTGAATAATTGTGCTTTGTTCTTATAAGCTAAATCCCAGGGGTTAGCCAGCTTGTCTCTCTTTGCGATGGCCCTTAATTAGGAGGAAGAGACAGGTGGGTGGGGCACAGTCTGAGAGAGCAGGAGAGGCAGGGGTAGTGGAGAAGCCGGCAGACTGAAACCAGCAGAGCGCCATGGTGGGAACATGCAGCCGGAAGTGGGGCTCGAACCCCACAGTGCAGGAAGAGCAACAACTTGCCGGCATAGGTAAGAATGCAGGGTAGAGAAATGACCTCTGTGGAAACATCTCACCAGTTTACCACCTCTACTCACAGAAGCCCCTTTTTGCTCCCAACCTATCTGCCCTGGAGGGGGCAGCTCTATGAGATCTCTAAGAGATTCTAAGAGGCTCGAGAAGAAAGCGCATTTGAGATTGATCACCTGGGCCAGAGATGGGTCCTGACCTAGCCCCACCCCAGAGAGGCATTGCTTTCCCTGGGCCCCATTCGGTCAGGGCAGAGAAGGAAAAGACCCCAGAAGTCTTGGGCTTCTTGATGGAGATTTAGGACTTCTTAGAATGAACTAGGAAATCTTACAAATAATCCCTCTAGATGTTATGAGTCCTGGAAAAAGAAAAGTTCCCAACATCGGTACAGGTCTTCATCCTGGGAGAGGAGGGCACTTAAGGAGTGACCCAAAGAATGAAATCTGCAAGCTGCAGTAATGTGTACAACCACCCTTGGTCTCAGCTGGCTTGAGGTCCCACCACCCACCTCTCCGGCCCCAGCTGGTTGGCTCGAAGGATGGGCAGTGTCCACCTGCTACAGGCATCCTGGTGGCTTATCCCACCCCCGTTGGCAGTGTGTTGATTGGCAGTTAGGTACTGAGCTGATGAGATAGGAACTCCAGATGGGCTGGACTCCCCTCACCCAGGCATTATCAGGCTGGTGGTCCATCCCCACCCTGTGCCCACTCTGCCTGGCCTCTGCACCCTCACCCCTATTATATCTCCCTTCTTCCCTTCCTATCCTCCCTTCTCAAGGCCCAGTTTCTAGAATCTCTTTCCTCTTCCTCAACTCTAGCCCTGGAAGCAGTGGCTGCAGAGGTGGAATTAGATGCACCGAAAGATTAACCTTGGTCCCTACAGTGCTGGCCTGGCCATCCCCAACTCTGTTATGGCTTTGTGTGCATCCCAGCACCCAGCACAATGCCTGGCGCATAGCAGATGCTCAAAATAAATGGTTGCTGGATAGAAGCAAATTAAGCTGAATCTCCCATATACTATTGCTTCCTCCCCAGATTGGCCATCTGATGGGCAGAGGCAGGGATTGGTCCCTGAGACTGTCACGGTCCTGTCTCTACCCCCTTTCTCCAGACTAATTTCCTGCCCTGGGCACCTAACTCCCTGAGCAGGGGCTAGGGCTGAGCTCCTGGAAAGACTAGGCCGGGGTGAGAACGGGGTGTTGCTAGCTGCTGCACCCTTCCAGCTCCCACCCTCCACGCCTCAGCCCCAGCCCAGAGTTCCTGAGCTCCCAGATGAGCTCCCCCTTTCACCTCACCCCCTCATGGACCAGGCCTCAGAGCTCCCCACCCCCCAGGAAAACTATGGCTGTTGATTCAAACTAGAGGTTGAGGAGTCAGAGAAGAGGACAGGCCACTCGACTGCTATTTGTTGGAACCTCAGTTTCCCCATCTGTAGTACAGGTGACTTGACTAGTTGATCTCTGAAGGTCTTCTAAGGTCGTTTTCTCTGAGTCAACAGTTTCTATCTCTGTCTTTCTCCCTCTCTCAGGCTTAAACAATTCCCTTTGAATGTGAGTGTAATGGCAGTGAAGGTTGGCTCCCCACAGACGCTACTTTTGTCCCCACAAAGGGAGTTGTTGGGGGCAGGGAAGTGTGTAATATGGCTGCAGGCGAAACAACTGGCCACAGGGTCTCAGAGGCTCTGAGACCTCCCATCATGCTTGCCTCATCTTCCCTACCCTGCCCTCCGGTCAGAAGACAGAAGGGAACCCCACTGAGGGCAACTGGGAAGGGCCACACAGAAGCCCTGATGACAGCTGTCCACTCTCACACAGCCTTCTCGTTTCTGAACCTCACCTGCTCCTGGCTTGGGCGAGGGTGGTCACCCACTGGAGAAGGGGGTCTGTAGCAAGACCCATTTACAGTGGAGCCCCCAGCCCTCAGTCCCTCCTCTGACTTTGAAACTGGTCTCCTCTAGGTGGAGCCTGTGGTGGAATCTGACCCCTCCCTGGAGTTGCTCTTTCAGGACTGGCCTTGCCAACCGTCTCCAGGGATCTGCAGCCCACAGAAACCCAAGGGGCTCCCGGGTGGTTGCTGGGAGGAGAAGCAAGGGCCAGAACAGGCTGCCTGAGCCGAGGCGCATGTCCAGGTTTGCCTCTAGCCCTGGCCTTCCTTCAGTGCCCTGGAAATGCAGTTATCCCTTGAACATGCCCCTCCAAATCTGAGGAACCCACCATCACCCCCAGCCTGACAGGGCTGCTCTGGGCTGGGAGCAGCCAGGGGAACACAGCAACGCCACACCTGAGCCTTCCCAAGGCAGCGCTGGTCAGCACAGAAGAGCCCTCCCCTCCTCCCGGTCCTGGCTGAAGCCACCACCAGACCCAGCACCGTGCAGGTGGGACAGCTTGCCTCCTCCCCCACCACTGCCCACCCCCCTTCTCTTTGGAGACCCTCACACACCCCTCCTGCCTCCTCTCGGGGACTGGCAAGTTGCAGCCCCTGCTCTCCTCTCCCCGGGGCCCACACATCCCAGATGCCATGGCAGGTTTCTCAGATGGAAGAGAGGTGGGTCACTCTTGGTGCAGGGTGGAGGGGTACGAAGTGAGGGGCTCGGGGTGGGGGGAAAGGTCGGCCCTGGGATCTGGGTTCAAGGGAAGCACACCAAGAGAGGGTAGGCAGGGTCACTGTACAGGGCAGAGAGTGGAAGGAGACAGGACACAGGGGCTGCAAGGCCGACCGCCTGCTACTTGGCACCATCATCCGCGTTGCCCTCGCCGTCCGTCTTGCCCTCCTCCTCGGTCTTCAGGTCATCCGTGCTCAGCTTCTGCTCTTTTTTCCTCCTCACGCACTTGACCACCATCAGCACCAAGATGACCACAGCCAGGAAGCCCCCTACAGAGGCACCCACAATCACTGCCACCGTGGAGTCCCGCTCGGGGGGCTCTGGAAGGGAAGCACAGCCACTGAGCGCTGGGGCTGGACAGGGTAGCCTCCTCCAGACAGGACTTCAGTAAAAGTCAAAAAACTACCCAGGAAACAGATCCCTAAGCACCACTACCCTAAAATCCCAGAGCACCAAAAAGCCCCCAAAGAGCCAGTGTGGTAGAGCATGGATTTTGGAATCAAACAGACCCAAAGTTGAGTCCTGATTGTACAATTTATTAGTCATGTGACCTTAGGTAACTTAGTCTCGCTAACCTCAGTTTCCTCACCTGCAAAATGGGAATAACAACAGTATTTCCCTCATAATGAGATACCACAGAAACAGAGCTTAACCCAATGACAGACATAGTAAGTGCCCAATAAACGGAAGCTGCCATTATTAAGATTATGATCATAATCAATATTACGCGGACTCTCTGAGACATGTCCCCAGGTCCTCAGGGACTGGAGGGAAGAAGATGGATGGCTTCCACCCAGCACAAGCTATTGCTCCACCCTTGGGAGGGCACAGCCTCCCCAAAGGGCCCTGAGCTAATAACTGCAGAAAGGTCCAGGCCCCCCAGCAGCCGGCTCCCCTCACCTTCCAAGAGGACCTGCAGGTAGATCTTGCCGTGCCCGCGGTGGCGGTCGGGCGGGTTCATGACATAGCAGTTGTAGATGCCCTCATCCTCCAGTTGCACGTTTCTTAGCGTCACTGACACGTCGTACTTGCTGGGGTTCCCCGAGAACTCCACGCGGTCTCGGAACCGCTCCAGCTTCAGGTTAATGATCTTCATGCGGAACTGGAGGAACTGGGGAGTGGGACAGGAGCTGTAAGGACAGTGGGATGCTCCCTCCTCCGATGCACCCTTCTACCAGAGAAGAGAGACAGTCATCTGCCCAAGGGCCACCCAGATATGGTAACACACCTTGTTTCAAAACCCTCTGGAACAGACGGCACAGCCAGAGTCCTCTGGAGCCATGAGCCATTGCCGGGGCAGGTGGTGGGATAGGGGGCTTCATGGTGTGGGACTCCTGCCTCCTCCCCAACCCCGCCTCCGTCCTGAGACTCACCATCTCCTCGGAGCAGTTATGACACTCCTGGTAAGTCCAGTTCAGGGAGAACTGCTTGTGGTTCACTGTGTAGCAGGAGTTGAAGGTGCAGAGCAGGCGGGCATCAGAGCCATTGAGGACGTTGAGAGTGGTAGGTACTGTGACCTCCATGCTCCGCCCTGATGGCACTGCAGACAAAGCCACAAGCTGGTGAGGATTCTGGCCGACAGAGCCGGAGAGGGGCAAACCTTCTAGCTGGAACTACAGGTACGAGCTACCACACCCAGCTAATTCTTTTATTTATTGTAGAGACGAGGTCTCACCAAGTTGCCCAGGCTGTTCACGAACCCTTGGGCTTAGGCAATCCCCTCACCTTGGGGGGTGGGGAAGTGCAGAAGTGAGGCAGGACAGAGTTATGGGCAGTGGGCTGGGTCCCTTGCAGCTGCCATTGATCAGGAGGTGGGGATACAGTGGGCACCAGATGTGGCCCTTGGAGCAAAGTAGGGGGCGGAGCAGGTAGGGGTCAAGAGGGACCAAATCATCTGTCAGGCCAGGGACAACCCAAAGCTTTTTCCAGGAGCTCTGTACGGCAGCCCCTCCACCTGCCCCCGTCTCGCCAGTGCCACGTGCTAGCTAAAGACCACGGACAAGGGACTTCCCTGGGCTTGTCTCAGTTTCCCCCTTCTTCTCCACCATTTCTACCCATCTTTGTTGGGTCAAAGCCCTTCCAACTGAAACTACAGGGCCCCCATGGGACAGGTCACCTGAGGACAGAAGGACATTCAGAAGCCTTCGACCTCGCCCTCCATATCCCAGGGACAGAACAAAGCTTTCCCAGCCCAGCCCAGCCCCCTCATTGCCCCCAGGCTTCTGACAGGCAGGAAAGAGGGCAGACAAGTAGTGGGAGAGAAGAAGTGCCCCAGAAGAGGAGGCACCATTCCAAGGACCAGCTGATGGGTCTACAGGGACAAGTGTCCTTTTTGGAGATGTCAGGCCTGGAAACACTGCACCACGGAGCTGACACAGACTGACAGGGTGGCAGAGTGGAAACAGCAGGTTCTGGGTGTTCTTTTTTTGTGTGTTGGAGTCTCACTCTGTCGCCCAGGGTGGAGAGCAGTGGCATGCTCACAGCCACCATAGCCTTGACCTGCTAGGCTCGGGTGATCCTTCTGCCTCAGCCTTCCAAGTAGCTGGAACTACAGGTGGGCGCTACCACACCCAGCTTTTTTATTTATTGTAGAGACAAGGTCTCACCAAGTTGCCCAGGCTGTTCACGAACCCTTGGGCTCCCAAAGTGCTGGGATTACAGGCTTGAGCCACCATGCCCGGCCTCTGGGTAGACAAGGGGCACCAGATGTGGGCCGGGGAGCTGGCATTGGGCTGAGAAAAGCTCATTCCACTCTGACATTCCAAGGAGGACAGCGTCCACAGAGAGGCCAGCGAGGTGCCTAGGGGCCTCCACCCTCGGAGACATGTAAATACCACCTTAAATGTTACATCCTAGGCACCTCACTCGATCTACCCTCGCCCCAGCCTTGGTTCCAAGATGCTCCGCAAAAAGTCAAAACCTGATCTCCAAAGTTTCCTTTTCATTACGGATGAAGAATATCATCAGTTCAGTATCATCCATTCACTCATTTACCAAATATTTCTTTCTTTTTTTTTTTTTTGAATTGGAGTCTCACTCCATTGCCCAGACTGGAGTGCAGTGGCTGCTCCGGGCCACCACAGCCTCGACCTGCCGGGCTCCGGTGACCCTTCCGCCTCAGCCTTCCGAGTAGCTGGAACTACAAGCGTGCGCTACCACGCCTGGCTGATTTTTTGATTTATTGTAGAGATGAGGTCTCACCAAGTTGCCCGGGCGGGTCTCGAACCCGCGGGCTCAGGCAATCCACTCACCTCAGCCTCCCAAGGCGTGGGATTATATACCAAATATTTCTAAATCGCCTACTATGTGCCAGGCACTTCATCTAGGCCCTGGGAGTTAGTGCCACAAACAAGACAGGCAGAATCACTGCATCAGGAAGCTTGCATTCTGGGGCGGCAGACAGACATTAACAAGCGGGGGGAGGGAATTGTAGATAGTGATATAACAAGGTAAAGGGGTATTGTTTTATCTGGGGGGGGCTCAGGGAAGACTTCTCTGAGTGGGGGGAGACATAGGCAGCACCTGCCTAAAGTGAGGGGTGAGACATTCAAGGTTTTGAGGTTATCAAGTTCCAAGGCAGGGGGAACATCAGGGGCAAAGTCCCAGTGGCTGGAATGAGCCTCCTCTGTCTAAGGCAGGAGGAGCAGAGTGACCAAAGGGGCAAATAGTGAAACCTGAGGTCAGAGAGTTAAGCAGGGACCAGGTCAACAAAGGGCCTTGTGGGCAGAGCATGGAATTGGGAGTTTATTTTTCTGAGTGTGATATGAAGTCACTGGAGGGCTCAGGGGTTGTGGGGGCAGCCAGGAGGCTGTCCAGGAGAGCATTATAGCTGCTGATATGGGAACAGCACCGACAAGGGGATTTGATTAAACTTGGGCTCAATCCCCGCTCCTACGTTGATCAGCAGGAAGAGCGTGGGGAAGCTCCTTACGTCTCTAAGCCATGGTCTTCTCCTCTGTAAAACGCAGATGACACCTATCTCCCAGGGCTGTTTTGATACATCACATAAGCAGTAAGTGCTCAGCAAATGGTAGCTCTTACGATTCTAGATTCTTTTCAAGTTCTGCTTCATAAACAGGAAGGGTTTCTGGGGTCACCAGGGCCTGAAAGCACCTTGGAGACAGACCCTTCCAGCCAGACCCTAGGAATTCCCCAAGAACTGGCAAACAGCCCAGGCCTGCAGGGCTCCTGTTTTTCCAACTGTTTTGTTGCGGAAACTGTCTCAGCTCCACTCCAGAGGCAGCAGCCTGCAGCCTGCAGGCAGGGAAAGCCAAGTCTGTTCCGAACCTCCTTCTGCTCAGCCCAGGCACTGGGCTAAATGACCAGGGCAACTGGAGGGACCTAAGAACAGGAGATGCTCTGAGCTGCTGGCCCCAGATGCAGGGATAGGCATGTGGAGCTCACCTGCAGGGCTGAGGATTCCAGGTGCGTTTTTTAAAGTACTCATTAGGGGAGTACCAACAGGGGAGGCTGAATGAGTCCCACGAGGAAGAACAAAGCCCAGCTCCCCTCTTTTGTACTTTCAGATCCATCTGAAAGCACCTGGCACTGCGCCAGGCATGGAGGCGTGCAGAAAATACCAACACCACTCCCAATCTGCGGAGGCTGAGCGATTCGAGGGAAGGCGCTGGCAGCGACGTGGCCCGAGCCTCCCTCCCATCCCTGGAGTGCCCTGCCCCTCTAGTCCCTACCCTTGGAAAGGTCAGCCACCGTCCCAGGACCCCCGCCCAAAAGTAAGTGTTCCATGAAGCTAGGCTGACCTTCCTGGTAGCCATCCTCCTCGGACCTCTGGACCACTCCAGCCCATGGCAGTACTTGAACCTCACTATATTAAAGGACCAAGCACCCTGCCGTGGGGGAGGGTGGAGCTGAGGGGAGCATGTCACCCTTCCTGGATGGCAGGAGCCAGGCAGACCCAGAGGTGCGATGCGGGCTCCTCCACTCCACCCTACAATGCGCGGTGCTGCAGGAGGCACCAGGCGGGACACGTGTGCCCTCTGGTGGTCACAGAGGTCAAATGTCAAGTTCCAACTGCGGAGGGAGAGAGGAAGGGGCGTCGCCAAATCAGAGGAAGCCAGGGCTGGGGGAGTTGTAGATCCGTCAGCATGTTTTACCCGTTAGGAAAGAGAGGCCACGTGAGAGACGCGTAGAGACTAGGGACAAGCTGAGGCCAGAAGTGTGGTTCCTGACTCCTAGTCTAAGAGTCGCACTTATGCGTGAGGGCTCACCAGAATCCCCGGAGGCTCCAGGCTGACAGCCCCTCTGTACCTTCCATCCTTCCAGGTCCTCATTGAGGGGAGAACCCATGCTCAACAAGGTCGGAGCTGTGAGCAAAACCCTGGTCTCTTGACTAACTCTGCTGCTTTAGGAAAGTAGCGGAACCCACAGTCAAGACCACAGAACCAACTTCATGATCATCGCAAACTCATAAAACAGTACCGGGCACTGTTTAAGCACCCTACATATATTACTTCACTTAATACTCACAAAACCCCTGTTAGCACCCCAACTTTCCAGATGAGGAAACGGAGCACAAAGAAGTTAAGTGAGCAGCCCAAGTTTACAGCTAGGAAATGATCAAGCTAGAATTTGGAACCAGGCTGCCTAGCACCAGACAGAGTTGAGGGGTCGAAGCTGAGTGGGGATGCGATTGTCATTGTAAGGCATGCCATGGACCAGATCTTTTGCTGTCTATGTGACAGGCCCAGCCTTATAACTTCCAGCGCCAGCTCCAGGCAGGCTGGTGGGCAGGGAACGATCCCATCTAAAGGAACCTCCATACAAAGAGAGCCCTGCATCTTCCTATAGAGCTGTCCCATTTGGAACCAGGTCTGGGCACTGTGTCTCCCGGTTTCCGACTCACAGAAAGGAAATGCCAATCAACAGAGATGCTGAAAGGATGTGCCTTCTTCCAGAACATCACCAGTGCCAGGCCCCCCACTCTCCCCAAGTCCCAGCTGGTCCCCACAGGCCCCATGCCATCCACTGTTCTAACTGGCCCATTTTGCAGATATCATGAACATTTGTTCATCTGTCAAGCACTATCTCTTGCAGAGACCAGAAGTTAATCTCCTCACTCCTCTTTCCAGCCCTAGGGTAACCTATAAGGTAGGTATATTTTGTTCTTGGCTAAAAAAAAAAAAGTCTAAGCAAATAAACTGTCTCTCAGGGCAGCCCTGTCTCCCAGGTGCATGTGGCATCCAGCCACTGTCTCCTCATCTCCTCACCTCCACTGCCTTACCATGCAGATCTCTCCCTGCTACAGGCTGTCCCCTCCCCACCAGTCCAGTCCATCCCCACACAACCAGATGCAACCCATCCTTGTCACCTCCAAACCTTCAATGGCTCCCCATTGCTTTTAGGATCAGGTCCAGGTTGCTGGGCATGACTTCCAAGCCCTTTACCGTCTGGGACCAACCGACATCCAGCCTCATCTCTGGTCAACTCCCGTCCCTTCATGCCGTCTTCCCTCCAGTGACACCATTTTTGACTTTTTTCTGGAAACACTGCCCGCCTCCATGCCTTTGTACTTGCTTTTGCTTCAGGTTGGGAAGCTCATTCATGCTTCTGTCCTTGGGGCCCTCCTCCCTATTCTGAGTCCCAGCTCATAAAGTATTGTCTCAGTGACAGTTTCTCCAGTGTCCTTCTTCTCATCCAGCCCTGTTTCTATCAGTTCCACGTGACTTGGAGGCAGAATGGTATAGGGGACAAGACCAGGGCTCGAATACCCTCATCTGGCCTTGGGCAAGATAGGTAAACCTTCTAGCACCTCCGTTTCCTCATCTGTCATATAGGAGACAGTGATAGGACCAACTTCTTAAAGATATTGTGAAGATTAAAGGACTTGCCACATGTGTAAGTCTCAGCACAGTGCCTGGCATATAGTAGCCCTGGACAAAAGTTAGCTGTTATTATCATCATCATTTTCACTGTTGTTATTATTATGGCACATGCGATCTTGTATTGTAATTATTTGTTTATGTGCCTGTGACCCTCAAGGAGGCTCCAGGGAACTGATTCGTATTCATCGTGGTAGCCCTGGCACCCAGGATGACATGTGACACACAGTAGGCCCTCCGTAAAAGTTTATTGAAGGAAGGGAATATATCTCCCTAAGCTGCAGATATATGCAAGGGGCTTGAGGGAAACCCAGACTCTACTTTCTAAGCCTCTCCTAACATAATTTTTTTAACCAGGCCAGTGACTGTGGAGTCAACAGTCTTGAGAAAAACTCTAGGGAAGCCCTGTCATTTGGATTGTTTTTAGTTAAAAATATGCTCTCAAATGCTTCTGTTGTGTGCACAGCCAGTTGCCCACCTGCCTTTTCTCTTTGCCAGTTTTATAGCCATCCTCACAAGCCTAGCCCCAACACTGTCCCCTCCTTGTCACTTGTGGCATTCCTCTATCCTAGGGATCAATGCTACTACAACCACCAAAGTTCCGTTGTGCACTCAGCCTCATTACAGCACCAGTTGAGTTCAAGTTCAAGTTCAAGGTCCCCATTCCTACATCCTACCCTGCTCAGGCTTACAGAAGCTTTCACTTCCTCACACCAGCCCCATGCTTAGACTTCTTCATCCCAGAGTTTATCTTCCCCCAAGCTACACTCTAACCCAGGGTTCCCAGTCCTGGTCACCAAGCCCCCTTACCTTCTTCACTTAGATATGGCTCTTACCAGGCTGCCTCCTTCCTGCTGGAAGTGCTCCCTAACTCCTGAGGGAGGTGTCTGTCCTCCAGCCAGGTTCCTCACACTCAGGCCATGCACCCAGCTCCCCCTCTTTTAGCTTGCCCTTGAGATTCTGATGAATTATGTGCCATTAAAGTGGCAGTGCCATTTCTTGAACATTGGAGGCAGTAGAGTCCAATGTTTAAGAAAATATGCTGAAATTAGACACAAGGGAGTTCAAACTTCACTTCTATTTCCTCTTCTTCTTCTTCTTTTTTTTTTTTTTTTGAGTTAGAGTCTCACTCTGTCACCCAGGCTGGAGTGCAGTGGCACACTCACAGACACCACAGCCTCACCCTGGTTGGCTCAGGCAATCCTTCCGCCTCAGCCTTCCAAGTAGCTGGAACTACAGGCGTGTGCCACCACGCCCGACTAATCTTTTCATTTTTATTTTAAAGATGAGTTCTCACCAAGTTGCCTCAAATCCCTGGTCTCAAACTCCTGGCCCAGGCAATCCTCTCGCCTCCACCTGCCAAAGTGCTGGGATTCCAGGTGTGAGCCACCATGCCCAGCCTCATTCTTCTTATACTGTACTAGTCATGTGACCTTATTGGGCAGGTTATTTAACTTCTCTGTGCCTCTGTTTTCTCCCTGTAATGTAAATAGAACAATAGCATCCAATTGCTGTGGAGGCAAAACACACAGTGCCTGGGATCGTAAGCAGCACTTGTACGGTGGCCATGATTGAGCCCGATCACAAACATGCCAGGCAGTAGGCATCCTCCAGTTTACCCAAGAGAGAGCCGAAGCTCAGAGAGGTTGAATAACTTGTCTGTGGTCATTAAGTAAATGACAAAGGTGGCTTTAGGCCCAGGTCTGATCAAGGCTCATGCTCTTTCGACTGCTGGAGTTTCCATAACGTTCCTGCTCTGTTGTTCATATGACACATAACTCAGCACAACTAACAGGCCTTACCATGCAGGCTCTCAGAGGCTCTGCACTGTCTCTGTTTAACACTCCTGCCCATACCCAGCACATCATGACACAGATAGAGAGTCTTTGTGACGGGGAATATTCCCACCAACAATCCTTGGACTTGACCCTCAGTTGTTGCCCCAGCAATGAGTAAGTTTGGATGCAAGAATGAAACGCTCTATAAAGCAGGTTTGTAAATAACTTTCTAGCCCCCCTCCCCCCCCCCCCAGGAAGCCTATGAATGCTCAAATACAAAATAAATATTGGGGCCACTTGACAGGGCAGTCCCAAGGCTGGGCTGAACAGTCTGAGACTGGTTTTAAAGGGCCACAACCTCGCTTAGCCTATGGGTTCCAATTTTTTTTCTTGAGTCCTTTCACCTGACCCTCCTCCATTCCACCCTGCCCAAGCCAGAGGTGCCTTCTCCTTCATTCAGCGCCTCGGCAGTTCCCTTCCCCACCCGAGAGCCTCCCCAAGCCTGCTTCCCACCTACTCCCACACACATTCCTACAAACCAGTGGGACAGATTGCCAGGACACCAGACCCAGACTCAACTTTCTGCCTCCCAGCTTCCCAACACACTCTCTTCTAATACCCTATATCCACCATATTCCAAGGATCAAGGTTCACAGAAGAAACCCTTTCAGGGAGCATCAAGTCCCAAGACCCCACAAAGGCAGTAGCCACAGAAAAATCCATCAAGAGACCCTGCAGATCCGTCGACCTTCTGCCCCACCCCCATGTAGGTCCACTTGGGCGGGGGGAAATCCGGAGAAAAAAATCATCTCGCTTGACAACTCTCACCACCCGCCACAAACAGCTCTCCGATCCCCTGACCCAACACTTGTGACCCAGCGGTCCCGGCCCGTTATGCAGTCCCAGCAATGTCCCTCCAGTCCCCAGCACCTCTCTTCCCAAGGACACGGAGGGAAGTGCTAGCAATGTCTTCTTCCCTGTCCCCTGCCCCCTCCTTTTCCAGCAGCGGCTGCACTTCTGAACCCTCGGGAGCATGCAGATTGTGAGTCTAACTTACCCAAAGAGAAAAAGAGACTGAGCCCCGTGAGACTGAAGGCAGGGCGAGGTAGCCAGGCATCTCTGTGCATTTTCAGAGACTGAGATGTTAGTCGGGTGGGCTATGGGAGAGGGTGATGTGAGGGGCCGAGGACTGCAAGGGAGGGATGGTTAGATGCTAAAAAAAAATGCACGGATGTACTTCAAAGACATATGCAACATTAAGGAAGCTTTATTTCCATCTCTCTAATATGGCCGGCTTGTATGTTGCTGCTAAAAAGAGAGAGAGAGGGAGTGTGTAAGGGAGAGAGAGAGAGAGAGAGAAAGGGGGAATAGAGTAAATATTGTGGTTGGTGGATTTCAGAAAGCAGGTGGGAGGGCATAAAAAAGTCTTTCGAAAAAGAACAAAATCCCCAGAATTTTTTGCCTCCAAAACAAGGACTAAAGCTAATTCTGCCTTTCTACTTCACTTCGGTGACTGTTAGATTTTGAAAGCTATTAGAGGACTCCATTTATTTCAAAGGTGCTGTGGGTGGGGGGCTCTTTCTGTCATTTAAAAACACCCTAAATGCTGACAACACTGGCTCAGTGGCTCATTCCTCTAATCCTGGCACTTGGGAGGCCAAAGTGGGAAGATTGCTTGAGCCCAGGAGTTTGAGACCAGCCTAGACAACATATCAAGACCAAAAAATCAAAAAGTTAGCCAGGCATGGTGGTGTGTGCCTGAAGTCCCAGCTGCTCAGGAGGCTAAGGTGGTAGGATCTTTGAGCCCAGGAGTTTGAGGCTACAGTGAGCTGTGGTAGTGCCAATGAACAGAGTGAGATCCCAATTTAAAAAAAACAAACAAACAACAAAGACATCCCCAAAAAAGGAGATGCTTGTTTTTGTGTTATTTGAAAAGGGTTGGGGAAGTTGGAGAGCCTTTCAGGAAGTAATGACTTCCTCCTTCTAACATTTCCACTGAAAAGAGAACATAGTAAAGCAGGTGGATGTGAAAATTCATAAGAGAGCTTACAATCAAACACAATATGTACTTTTGGAGAATTCTGATTTGGACAAATCACCTGAAAAAAGACATTTTTTTTTTTTTAGGCAATTGGGAAAAATGAAATAGGAACTGGGTATTAGATTGCATTAATGAATAAGTTAGTTTTGTTGGTTGTGATAAAAAAGTATTGTGGCCATGTTCTTCAACATCTTTATTTGTTAAAACACACACACTGGAGTGTTTATAAGTGAAATTATATGATGACTAGAATTTGCTTTAAAATATTCAAGAAGCAAGCTGGGCTCTGTGGCTCAGCCTATAATCCCAGAGCTTTGGGAGGCTGAGGTGAGTAGATTGCCTGAGCCCATGGGTTCGAGACCCGCCTGGCAACTTGGCGAGACCTCATCTCTACCATAAAATCAAAAATTAGCTGGGTGTGGTAGCACATGCCTATAGTTCCAGCTACTTGGAAGGCTAGGGCGGAAGGATCACCGGAGCCCAGCAGGTCGAGGCTGCAGTGGCTGGGAGCATGCCACTGCACTCCAGTCTGGGTGACAGAGTGAGACTCCAACTCAAAAAAAAAAAAAAAAATTTCAAGAAAAAAGTGAGAGATGTAGGTGACACAAGACTAGATGTTGATTGTTGAAACTAACTAGCGATGGGCATCAAAGGTTCATTATATAGTTCTCTCTTCTTTTGTGTGTGTTTAAAACTTTTTCTTCTGAAGAGAGAAGAAAAAGTAAACTTATATCACAACTAAGGGGTGGAGTACCAAGGGGACCCTAAATGGAACAAGTGACCCCACCCTTCTGGGGAGACATTTAAGTGGAACACAGGTTTGTGTGCAGCAATTACATGATTTGCGAAAGGCCTTTAATGCACCAAAGAGGGAACCACTAATATTTTTGAGCATTAGCTCTGTGTCATGCACTTTACATGTGATAGCTCAATTTAACTCTGGGATAAATGATTTCTTTTGTCTTTTTCTGTTTTACACTGCAGATGAGAAAACAGAGGCTCATAGGGCTCAACCCACCCAAGTTTACATATGACAGTCAACTGCAGTGTCAGGATTCAGAATCAGAGTCAGGTCTTGGTGAAACCCTGGGTAGCTCCAGTATTCCACACTACTTATCACCAAGGGAGGGAGACATGGCACTGACCCTCAGGTTATTCAGAGAGGCAGGGGGAAGAGAAAACTAGGAAGATAGATGAAGGAATTAGCCTCTGGCGGATGACAGCAAAAAAGCTGCTAAGGGTGGGATGTGGAGGAACAAAATGGGAGCCCAGCACAGTGCCTGGCTCAGAGTAGACACTCATGAACAGGCGGTGAATGACTGCACGCTGGATTGAATTAAAGAATTCAGAAAGGGAATGAGGGAAAGTAGACATTACGAGGGAAGTGAAATCTAGCTAAAGTCTCTGAAGCTGTTCTAGGCTGGGCAGGAGCAAAAAGGGCCAGAGCTTCCAGGCAGAGTTGCCAAAAGTAGGAGGGTGGATATTCTAGGTGGATATTCTAAGAGCCCTCGATGGTTATCCATTACCAGATCATGCACAGACTGTGTCCTCAAGAGACTCAGTCACATCCCTAGGGTCTGGCTTGGCTGGCGTGGCTGGCTTGGCTGGCTAGTCCACAGAGCACACAGCCCAGCTCACAGAATGGAATTGCAGGGAAGGAGAGAGGGGACAGTCTGGGAAGCAAAGTGTCCTCAATGGCCACAGCCAGGCCCTGTCCCTACTGGCTTCAGGCCCTAAGGCCTCCTCCATAGTCAGCGTCTCACGGGTGTGTCCAGAGAGATGGACTGGCACAAGCCAGGCCTCAGCTCTGGCTCCAGCCTGCGCTGCCAAGTCCCAGTCTGCAGCACAGCCACCCATGCTGCCGCAGACACATGTCAGCCCAGCCCTGTTGCCAGAGATTTTTGGTTTGACGTAGCCGACTTCCTCCTTTTTCCTAATGCAGCTGAGGGTGCCCATGTGGCCCAGAAACTGAAGAAAGCTGCTTACCTGTCTCACTTGGTCTCACACTGGTTCCAGAAGCTTCTATTTTGGAGGCATCTGAGGCCAAAAAAAAAAGAGAGAAAGAGAGAAGGAGAGAGATCCAGCAGTTTTGTTTCTATCTGGAATTCAGCTAAGAAAAACTAGATATCCAGACTTAAAACAAACTTTGTGCAACTCATCCCCCCCAGGACCTAGAGCCAGCAGGAACCAGGTCAAGGGCAAGGGGCCCTGGCAGGAGCAGACAGGGAGAGCTACCCCAGCACCTCCCTGTAGCCTACTCAGGCTTCCAGATGCCCATTTGCTCCAAAAGAGTAAACTTCCCTAGGAGCCAATAAAAGCCCAGGAAGCAGAAACTCTAAGGTGTTTTGCCAAACGAAGACACCGATATTAGAGATGGGCTTTTCTGGGGAGTGACATCCTGTGGTTTTGGCATTTCTACTCAGAGCCATTTATCACTGAAGAATTTATTAGACAGCACTCAATTACCTACCCTGCTGGGCAAAGGAGTTACAAGTAAGCCAGAGGAAGGTGGTTTCCTTCCACCTTTGGAAGGCCTAGTTGAGGTTATAGACATTTGTCCAAGAACCTCACTACAGACCAGTATCATGAGTGTCACCTGGGAGCTCATGAGAAACGCACAATCATAGGCTCCTCCCCAGTTCCAAGAAGCTAGAATTCTGAATTTTATTTTATTTTATTTTTTGAGTTGGGGTCTCACTCTGTCACCTGGGCTAGAGTGCAATGGCACGATCACGGCTCACTGCAACCTTGGTCTCTTGGGCTCAGGCACTCCTTCTGTCTCAGCCTCCTGAGCAGCTGGGACTACAAGTGTACGCCACCATGCCTGGCTACATTTTTTTTTTTTTTTTGGTAGAGATGAGGTCTTGCTGTGTTGTCCAGGTTGGTCTCAAACTCATGGGCTCAGGCAATCCTCCCACCTCAGCCTCCCAAAGTGCTGAGATTACACGTGTGAGCCACTGAGCCCAGCAGAGTCTGTGCTTTAAACGAGATCTCGAGAAAATTCTTGATCAATTTAGAGTTTGAGAAGCAATGCTTTCTGTTGCATAGTATGGGCAAGGTTTGGGGCAGAGAAGAGGAAAATGGCAAGCAGGAACAAGCCTCAGATTAAATGCTGGCCTGGAGTGATCTGTAGGCACACAGCAGCCTGCTCATGGGTGCAAAGTAGGGATCCAGTTCACTCACTTCTCTTCTCTGCCCCACACCCTTCTCAAGGGTGCCAGGCCGGGTTTCTCTAACCCCACAAGCAGTTTCACATGTCTGTGTCTCTGTCTTGGCAGTTTCTTCTTCAAGGAATGCCCTTCCTCTCCTGCTCACTCAGCAGGCTCATAATCTTTCTTCAGAAATCTACTTCAAAGTTGCCTCCTCCCGATCTTCTAAATACCTCTTTTCTTGGTTCTTCCGTGACCCTGGGCACATTCACTCATTTACCAACCAAGTCTCTCATGCAACAAACTCAAATGCCTAGTTAATGGCCACTCTGTGTTAGGCACTGAGCTAGGAACTAGAGACCCAGGAATGAATGAGATATAGTTCACGCCTTGAGAGCTCACATTCCGGATAGGGAGATAGATATATAAACTCACAATGCAGCATGGTGAATGCAATCCCAGCTACAGGGGGTATGGGGGAGCAAAGGGACGCCTGGTGTTGCTCTCTGTGCTAACAGGAGTCAGAGAGTGTTTTTTTATTATTTATTTTCACATCTGACCTTCCCAACTAAACTGCATCTCTTTAAAGATAGAAACTGTGTCTTAGTCTTCTGAGCATATGCTCTACTGGCCCTGAGCAGAGGAGAATGAGTGAGTGTCTACTTCACATCCGGGGAAAGGGCAGAAATTCCATCAGTCTGAGCTTCCCCAGCCAAAGTGTGGTAGACATGGCACTGGTAGCTTGGTCCAGCAGCTCCCTGGACATGCCTATTTGGTCCACTCCCTAGGAATTCCATTCCGCAAGTGATGATCCCCATGGGGCCAGATGATGTAAGGGTCACAGAAAAGGTCTAAAGCAGGATTTCTAAGAGCTTAAGGTCTCTAGGAGAAGTAAAGTGTCATGCCTGTGTCAAGCAAGAGGGCAGTCGAAGATAAAATCTGATCAAGTGTAGAGACATCTAGGGAGATGAGAGAAATAGGAGATCACCCAGGCAGGACTCAAGCAGGGCCTTGTCGATCCGGTCAGGCAAAAAAGGAAAAGGTCAGGCTAGAATGAACCAAGAGCAAAGCCTCGGAAGCAGAAAAGACAAAGATGTATGGAGCAGAGTCTTACCGTTGTTTAAAAAAAAAGGAGATGTGGTTGGGCAGACAAGATGGCACCAGTGACATACAGAAGACCATGAACATACAAGGCAGAGTTCAGACAGGGGCCTAGGAGGCAAATCGCCATTGGTTTCATCAGCTATGCAATGAGAAAGACCTTAGCTTTTTGAGAGTTCCATTGTTTTTTTTATGAAGAAGAGATGTTTTGAGAGTTGGGTTTTACAGAAGTGGTCATGGATTGCCTGACCTCCCTAGACCACATTTGCAAACCAGCTGGCGAGGACAGAAGGTCAGTGGTCCTGAGGAACTTTATTTATACTTAGTAAGGGAATAACTTGTCTGTGTCAGGATAAAACTTACAACCTAAGACTCTTCAGCTGTAAAGTAACTGAGCTAATTCAGTGGCAGCAAGACCACATCAACCACAAACATAGATGCACACACACACGCGCGCGCGCATGCAGAGAGAGAGAAAGCTAGTGTTTTTGAAAGAAAATTGCCAATTGTCAGTGGAGACATGTGAGCATACTGACTAGTCAAAAGGAGAAAAAGGGAGTGGGCGATGAAGAACAAGATGCCAGAGGGCTGGCAGGAGGCCACAGTCTCTTGAAGGAGCCTCCTCTTCCTCTGATCCCCAGTGGACAGGCTGGACTGTTTTCAATTCCAGTAGCCAAATTCCAAAGCTGCTAGATTTCTCCATTATTCCCCACCACCTCCACCCTTGGGGCTGCTTTCTGTTGGCAAAGGCCTGTGTACTTCTGGAAACTTTCAAATATGGGAGCATCTGGTGTTCTAGGGACCTAAAATGCTGCAAATTCAAGTAAGAAAACTGCTTGCTAAAGGATCTACTACAAGGACCTCCAGCAGCTGTCCCATCCTTCAGGATGTCACCCCTCAGGGGTGGGCAAAGCTCCTCAGCTCAGCTTCCTAACTCCCCCTCTCTTTGAATGGGAAGAGGGATTTAAGTACTTTAATAATGGGCTTTCTGGTCAGGCGCAGTGACTCAAGTCTGTAATCCCAGCACTTTGGGAGGCCAAGGGGAGAGGATTGCCTGAGCCCAGGAATTTGAGGCCAGTCTGGGCAACTTGGTGAGACCTCGTCTCTACAATAAATAAAAAATAAGCTTGGCGCGGTAGTGCACACCTGTAGTTCCGGCTACTTGGAAGGTGGAGGCGGAAGGATCGCCTGAGCCCAGCAGGTCGATGCCGAGGTGGCCATGAGCGTGCCACTGCACTCCAGACAGAGTGAGACTCTGACTCAAAAAATAAAATAAAATAAAAAGGGATTTCTGCCCATAGAAATCATCACCAGAAGATACTGCCACTCATACTGCTTAATTACATCATTAAGATTGGATAGCTAAAATTAAAAAAAGATTGAATAGCAAAGACTGACTGGTATTAAATAGATTATAAAAGACCTAGTTCCTGAGAAGATAAATCCAACTTGAAGGAGATGGAGGGTTCAGACCAGGCACCATCCCCTAAACTACTTTTTTAGCCCTCGCCAAAAAAAAAAAAAAAATCTTATGACTCTTCATTTTATATATAGGGAAAACAGCATCAAAGAATTTAAGTGAACTTTGTGATGTTGAAGAGGAAGAGGCAGAGCCAGAATTGAACCAGGCCGGTTAGACCTTGAAGGCCATTCTCTACACCTTCACCTTCATTTTCTTGGATTTAATGAACTGGCTCTAGGAGAAGGGCATGAGGAAGCAAGTCAGTCTTCCTCCTGGTTCCCTGCAGGGCTGATTTGGTTTTAAGCAAAATCAGTATTTGACAGGTGTGAATGTCCACCCTCAACTTTGACTTCCTGCCTGTGGATAAGAGGAAGGTATGTGGAGCAGTATGGCTGAAGTAGAGAGATAGACTTCCTCTTCCTCCTCCTCAGTCGCAACTGCTAACCCCAGAATGGGAGCCAAACTCTGAATGAGCCAAATTCAAATTCAGACACACATACACTTCCACGATTAAAGCGCCCTCTAAGGACCATGTGGATAAACTGTCCAGCCCACTCTCCATCTCATATTCCAATTATTATCTTAGACCCAGAACAAAAGATGTAAAATCATCCTCCATCCACCTAACTCCGTATCCTGAAGGCCATCCTTCAATGCACACAATATTTGAGGAAGTGGAAAGGAGCCCCTTTTTCCAGGAGAAGAATGTTCTTTAATACTCCCAAAATGAAACCCCTTCCTCTCCATGAACACTTTGTACATGAAAGAGTCCTTGGGCAGGGTATTGCCTTCAATACACTGATTGTCAATCACTGAGATACTCCTCATTTGAGCTAACAGGTGAGAAGGAAACATTTAATGGCTCTTATCCGTGGCTAACCTAGAACAGCTAGTACAGGAGAAAGAGTTCATAATGAGTATGTCATGCAAGGATCATAATATTTGGAGAGTTAGGGGAGTCAGACATGTAGCCCCCCCTTGAGATTGAATCAGAACTCAAAGGACCAGAAAAGACCTTCTCTTTATCTGGGCCCTGAATGGCTAACTGGGAAGCAAGGGATGCAGAGAATAAGAGTCTATGGTACCCTGGAGGCTAGAGCTCGTTCAGAACCCACGGATTTTTAAGACTAACCTAATCATATCTTACAATAGTAACAAAAAAGTATAGGAGAGTCATATCTCAGACCAGGAGTTAAATCAGTGGCTGTCCAGTTTGGCAACCCATGAGTATCACTTTTGAAAAGACACATGCCTAAGCTCTACCTAGCAATTTCAAATCAGAAGGTCCTTGGTGAGGCCCACAAGAAGCCACCCGCAATGCTAATACCCAGCAGGAATAAAGAACCACCAGGCTAAATCCCGGGGTTGTGTTCATACTCCTCTTCCAATGCATGTATCCCCAAACCTTTCCCAGAACCAAAACCAGCCTCCAGTGTGTTGAATTGCCATATGGCTGTCCTCCAGGAACTTCAGTTGTTCTATAAGTCCCCAACTATAAATTCCTCACCAAGACTCCACTCGCCGCTCAGCCAAAGTATAAAAATGGGACAATTTCCATGAACCACATTTATTTGGAGATAATGTACCAAAGAAATTGTTTGGATTGATTTTTTAGCTCTGTGACTCTTCTCACTAACTCATCCACAAATAACACATATAGGCTGCTCTGACGGAGTGCTTGAGGCCACTGCAGCCCAGCCGGGCTCCCCAGGGCCAGTGTCCCACTTCAGAGGCCAAGTCCACGCTCCCTCCCCATTAGGACCTGCCTCCAGAGCTGTCCAGTCCTTCTGCCAAGCTCCAGACTCTCCATATTCGGCCCTTTGACCAAGCACTGTGACAGGAGGACAAATGGGAGGGCAGGGGTCTGAAGCAACTGACAGAGTGACTCAGGACTTGCAGGGGAGATGGTCTCTGCCACTACTGAGACGAAGGGAACTCTCTTCTCAAAATGCTCGCTGTGTTTTTGGCGTTCCTCCATCTGACTTTTTTTCATGCAGGTTGTTCGGATCTGACCTCAGAGAAGGCCAGACTGGATGCTGTGGGGCAAGGGAAGAAGGAAACAAAATACTTGTAAGTAGTTCAATGATCATAGCAGCTGCCGTTCCTTGAGCTCTTTCCATGAGCCTGGCCCAATACTGAATTCCACATGTATCATCCCATTGGATCCTCACTGCCTAGAGGGTGCCCATTTTAAGGATAAGGAAACTGAGGCTCTGGCGGTGGGGGGAGGGGTTTGGTTACCCTTCCAAGAGCTGCTAAATCAGACTCAGGATCTGAATTCAGGTCTGACCAACTCCAAAGCATGTGATCTTAACCACTGTTTTTTCAGCCTCAGAAAGGGGAAACAGCATGGCGTCCACCAAATTTACATCAATTTAATCAATTCAACAACAAAAATACAAGATTCTTTGTTCCCTTCTCCCTATCAGAGAACATCTACCTCTGTACCTAGAGTCTCGAACAAGCAGCCTTCGGTCCTGAATTTGCCCATCTTAACTCAGCACATAGTATTTAAAATAACTTGCCCAGCCTCTGAAGGCCTTTGAGTTTATGGCTCAGGCCTCTCATCTCACTCATGCTATTAGGTCCAGTTCAAAAGGACAGAGACTCTGTTTTCCACAGTCTAAACCACAAGCTCCTAGCATTGAACCTGGGGAAGGTAGCTGTGAAGACGACTGTTACTCCTATGTCATCTCTATCAGAGACTGTCTGTAAACAGTACCACCCTGGCTGGTGACACACTCAGCAATAGCCGCAAGGCAGCTGTATCAGCAGGTCTGCAAGAGCCAGAGAGAGGTCTGGCAAGTGACTGTCGTGTCACATGGCAATAGCGGGAGAAGAATGCAGGGAGGAAATGACTATATTCAGCTACAGCTTCAGAGTGGAGTTAATGTTTCCCTTGGTGAATCCAGGCCAGGGCTCTGATCTCACACTTCCCTGGCAGACCTTTCTCTGCCGCAATCAGCTGGGAGTCATGTGTCCTCAGTGCCGGTATGACAGGAACAAACACAGCCCATCATTCCACAGGCAGAGGAGGCCAACCTTCCTGAACCCAGCACAGAACGCTGCTCCTTCATGGGCTGGGTGCCTATAATTAGTCTACAAATAGCATCGTGCTCATGTCAGCTCTCTCCTTTTGTCCTTCCCCTTACTCACTACACAGCTAGGTGCATTTTTGAGGTGCTGTACTTTCCTGGGGAGTGACAGAAGTCCTTGTAAAGTGAAAGTAGGAATCAGACTCCATATTATTGTATGAAATCCAGCATGCAGGGCAACCCCTTCGGGTTCCCTTCCACTGTGGGAGCTTTTCTGTCCTCTCAATAAATGCTGCTTTAAAAAAAAAAGAAAAAGAAAGCCAGCATGCGGCCTGCCTGGTAGTTAGATTATGTGAAAGTATAACGAGTCATAGAATTTTAAAAACCTAAACGATGGAAGGTATTCTACTTTGACCTTTTGATAGGAAGGAAAACAATTCCTTGCAACACAATACTTGTGCAAGGATTTTCTCTTACTCTTTTTTACTGGGTTTTGTTTAATCAGGACTGAATCATGAGACATAGACATTCTCCCTGCCCCCAATAAAGGTCATTCTTCACTTCTTTTCACCACTAAAATAAATAATCTCTGGTGATGACATTTAATCCTTAAGATTGTGTATGAGGCACGTTTGATATTATTCTCCTGTCTAGCAAAGCTTCAGTTGCCCAGACTTTCCTACTACTTAGAAAAATCTGTGCCCTCAGGTGATCTGGTCACTGGCCCAGGTAGCCTCCTCTCATCCATCACCCATATATTTGCCTTATCCTTCCCAGCTCCTTCTCCCACCTCTAGACATCTGGCTCAGCTGGAGACAGAGGTATTCTCACCATGGTCATGTAGGTGGCCTCTGATTTTCCTCTTGGTTCTTCTTTGTCAATCACCTCCCGTGTACTTATCGAGGAGTAAACATGTTTCTAGAGGGGGGAAAATGGTACAAAAGTTCCTGAAAATTAAACAATATCTTATCCACCAAAGCAAAGGCCACCTACTCCTATTTGCTTAGCATCAACCACCAAACTGGTAGGTTCACAGGGTTACTGAGAGCTAGAGAATAATCATCAATAGTAATAATTCAGCCAGGCATGGCAGCTCACGCTGTGATCCCAGCATTTTAGGAAGCTGAGGTGAGAGGACTGCCTGAGCCCAGGGGTGTGAGACCAGCCTGGACAACTTGGCAAAACCTCATCTCTATAATAAATTTAAAAATTAGCGGGGCGTGGTGGTGTGTGCCTGTGGTTCCAGCTACTTGGAAGACTGAGGCAGAAGACCTGAACCCAGCCGGTCAAGCCTGCGGTAGCTGTGAGCATGCTGTTGCACTCCAGTCTGGGTGAAAGAGTGAGACTTCCACTTAATAATAATAATAATAATAATGATTCAGCCTTCAGTCATCTTGAAAATGTTAGCAAAGAGCATTATCTTAAGAACCAAATTCTTTCCTTCAGAAGTCAAACATCTTTGTTTAGATGAGCATTTAGGTAGCAGCAGGGAATCCTTATCTTGCTAAATTACTTGTATTCTGTGCTTATTTCCTTCTAATTACAGTCATAGCAGGATGGCATTAATCAGCAGCTAATTGTCATCCTCTCAGAGGATTTAGATGACAGGGCCAGCTCTTGCTGAACTCCACATCTGTGAGATCAGTGGCACTTTGTGATTCGTGGTCCTGTCACTCTTTGGGAAAGCAGTATCATCCAGTAACAAATTGTTGAGCTTCTGGTGGCCCCTGCAACATATTGGGAGCAAACCCTACTCTTGGGACAAAAACAGCCCAAAAGATAGAAGAAGAGTGACTAGTTAAAGAGAAGTTTTTAAAAATTAAAGACAGAGAATAGGAGTTAAAGGAAATTAATCAATTTCTCAGTCACTAGTAGCAATTATTATAACTCTACTACAAACCAATATGGAGGAAAAAGCCCTTCTTAATCCTCTCTTTCTAAAGGTCCCTGAGTATTTCATCTTAACCATTAACTCCTTAACTCCTGAAGGTATATTAATTCTCCATTATTCTTACACGGCGCCTAAAAATTACAAAGAATTTGCATATTGTTATTTAATTGAGCCTTTAAACAACCCTGTGAGGAAGGCTGGGTAACTATGTATGTCCTTATCCTCATTTTGCTGGTGAGGCTCAGGAAGGTGGCAGCACTTTCTGACTCCAAGTGCAGTACTCTTTCCTTGGCCCACTACTAGGATCTGCTGTACCACCACCCACTCTGCTTCTCTGAGGCTCTTGTTCTAGTGATAAGGGCTTCCTGAGTCCCTGCTCTGTGCCACACACTGGCCTACAAGCTGAAACACAGTGAGCAAGACACAGTTCCCAGGGTATGACGATCATGCTCCTAGTTAGCGTTTCCATGCTGAAGCGTGTTTCCACCTCTCCCTTATAGGACACAGCAGCAAAATGGTTGAGTTCTTGTCTTACCTCTAGATCAGCTTTCTTTGTGTTCTCCAGGTTTTTCACCAAGGTTGTAGAATTTACTGAACTGCAAGACATGGAATGCGTGTGAAATTAACCAGCCAGCTCTGTTTATTCCAGGGTGCCTACCTGAGATCTCACCTGGCTCTGTGAAGAGAGAGACCCCTGAGAAGGAACTATTCTCTCTAGACTTCTATAGCTAGTGCTACCAGGCTCACCTGGAGCCTGAGAAATGAATCTCTTCTAGAACAAGAAGCCATTCTGGAGATAGTTGAAACAGCTTCAGCTTCTCTATCATCACTCTAGCAACTTTCTATCCATAACGGGGGGATAAAAAAAATTTTTTTAACTGAAGTCTCACTCTGTAACCCAGGCTGGAGCGCAGTGGCATGCTCATGGCCACCACAGCCTCGACCTGCTGGGCTTAAACGATACTTCTGCCTCAGACTTCCAAGTAGCAGGAACTACAGGCACATGCTACCACACCTGGTTTATTTTTTGATTTATTGTGGAGATGAGGTCTCACCAAGTTGTCCAGGCTGGTCTTAAACCCCCAGGCTCAGGCAATCCTCTCACCTTGGTCTCCCAAAGTGCTGGGATTACAGGCTTCAGCCACCACGCCCGGCCAGGGGATATAATTTTAAGTAAATGACTAGAGAGAAGCCATGGGATTAGACTTTATCATCTTCCTGGCATTTCTGAGGACGAAGGAGATGCATCTGAACCAGCAGAGGGCAGCAGAAGCTCAACAAGACACCAGTTCTAAAGGCTCATGGCCTCTCTCCAGGAGCCAAGCAGAATTACCCCTACAAACACCCTACCCTAGCTGGGATCTTTGGTCCCTTCTCTGTCTGAGGGCTTTGGCCTTTGATCTCTTGACCATTTGCCTTAGGCATTTGCCACTGAAAATACTTTCTTTTTTTCTATTTTGGCCTAAGGTAGAGCTTTAAAAAAATCAGGGTTAAAGCTTTAAAAAAAGACAGTTTTTTGGTCTCAAAGTGGAAGTATTTTTGTCATATTTTCTGATTATTAAAGTTGAATATTCTCATTGTAAAATAATTCAAATAATACGAAATGTAGACAACTGGAAGTTGAAGTTCCCGGTAAACCTAAACCCCTCACCCCACAGGATCCACCTTCTTCTTTAATCTCAAGTACTATAACACCATTCATATTTTACAATTCCTTCCAAACCTCTCAATGCAAGCACAAGTAAATTCACATAAAATATATTTAGTATATACACTTCTGAAGCAAGCATTATATTATTTTCTCTTTTGTAAAAATGAGATCATGCTATATATTCTATAATATTACCCCTTGGATATCTTTTCATGTCATTATATACAAGGTTGTGTGGTATTTCATTTAGTGAAACATTGGCTCATGGAATCATTGCCTTTCTGACAGACACTGATGCTGATTTCAGTTTTAATTATAGGCAAAACTGTAGCGACCATGCACAAGTCTCAACATATCCTCAGATTATTTCTTTAGAATGAACTGCTAGACATAGAAGTGCTGCTCTTCATTTTGGGGAAACTGAGGCTCAGAGAGGGGAAGCAACCTTGAGGGTGGAACCCAGATTGTCTAGCTCTCTGTTCAAAACTTTTGGCATGCTCAAAGCAAAGATCCTCAGAGAGGACAACCAAGTTTAAACCAAATCAGAGAGCCCTTGTGACTGGAGGACACAAGTGCTTTCTGTAGAAAGGACTGGGAAAGGACACTCCAAAATCAGCATTAATTCACGGATTTAATTAATGCTTTCCTGTTGACACTGTTTCCACAAGAGAGTCAATCTGCCCTACCAACATGTTTTATCAATGGTTGGGTAAATTGAGGGACATGGATCTGCCAACAGCCAATGAAATACTAGTGTCCCTGTGGGTGCATCTGGACACGTCTGAGACCCTGAGAGAACTACTGATGAAATGCAGGCCTTGAAAAACACATTTTTACAATAATTCATTTAGAACCTAAGGACATTCATCCAAAAATAGCCTCTCATAATTAGAATGCGGTCTTTTAAATAAAACCACTGGCAACCCTTAAGATCTTAACTTCTATAGGAAACATACAGTGTGGATAATTAAACAGTCTTTTCTCTCAGGCAGTGAATGGTACCATGACTGTTCTTGCATAATATTTATACTGTTTTGTTTTTTTTTGAGTTTGGAGTCTCACTCTGTTGCCCAGACTGGAGTGCAGTGGCCACTACCGGCCACTGCAGCC